ATTATCGTTCCTCATATAAATTCATTACATTTGACTAAAAAAGACTTATTTTTTCTTAATACATAAATTTATTCCTCTTCAATTTTTCATTAAGTATTTCCATATTTTTCAACAATCAATCGTGCATACTATTATACTTTATGTATTTCTTACGCTTTTCTCTCGTCTTATGTCATACTTTATTAGAGCTACGTGGTGACAGAAAATAAAGTTGCAAAATATATAACAGTGGTGTAGTGGCAAGAGAATCTCGGAGNAACAAATGCATGGTTCAATCGCGACGTATTTCATCTCCCAGGTATCACTGAATCATTCACGAAGATTATACTTCGACAACATTCGTGACAAATTTTACTATTATTTTTTACAACATTATATATAATACTAATATTGTATTTTAAACCGGGACCTGGTTGCTATGATCTTATTCTAAGGGTTGCGAACGTTTGGTATCGTTACACATGTAAATGCAACATATATACCTACGATATGCACGTATAATGCATATCGATGAGTAGTCACGTGTCCCTCAACGTTACTGGCAACCACACGCCCGGTTATAATGCTGCGTCGCCTTAACAAGACTGCGTTGTCGTCCTTTGAAAACTCCTCCCCATCCTTCCCCGTTCGCAACCCCTTCTGCTGTCCGTCAATTCTGAAGAGGAGCTATGAATTTAATGAAGCGTCCTCCAAATCGCGATACGCCGCGTCGAACGGGATTAATACCCGTGTTATATAAACTTTCAACCTGATAATAATCAGTCCACGTTCTTTTGATGCTTCTTCCTTCCCCCATTTCCTTTCGCTAATTCGTATTCGACTGATCGCTTACGAGATGAACAAGTACCGTGAACGATCCTCGACAGTTTATTATATTTTCTTTACGTGGAATCCTGGTTCCAAATATAAGTACGGTATTATCTGATGTTAATATTCTTACAAGGATAATCGTTCGTCGCATGAAATTGGGATTCATATGTATCATATTGAGCCCGTCAAATTTCTTGTCTCTTCGATAAAATAGAATCATTTTGACACAGACATATTAATTACTTTGTTTCGCAAGTGGTCGAACAAGGAAAAACGAAGGATTAAATATCGGAGTTATATAAAAAACAATATGAAATCACTGTAGTAGCATTTCCGGCGCCGCCCTTCGAGAATCTCAAGCATCTGGAGAACTATACGGGGGATCATTATTCATGAGAATTACCTCTGCCAGTACACGTAATATTAAATTTGCATTTACTGCGTAATTGAGATTGTAACACCTCCCCTTGGAGTTTCAATTAAATTTTGCATTTCGTATGTCACTTTGAAACAAAAAAGGAATTGTTAATGCTGGTATATTAACAACTGGAGTGAGAATAGCTGTCAAAGTAGGAATTTCCAAGCTGTTAGATTTTAGATTAACATCTAATTAAGAGTTTTACAACTCCTTTATTAGAGTTTATTTAATTAAATGATGAATTTTCAAACAAATTTAAGCAGTTATATGTATATAGGAAATAAAATATTTTACATTATTATAGGTAATTATATAAACATATATATTGTTCATGTTGTTATTTAGTTATTATGTTATCTTCATTGTTTTTGATTTATGCAATCCGACTTCAGAACAACATAAAAAAATATACATTATATACAAAGAAAGATCGCTGATGATACCTGATAGATTTCCCTCTTTATTCGCATTTCAATTGTTTATATAACTCAATAATAGATTTATTATAATTGTTTCACCTCGCACTGGCCACGGTTCACGGTTTGCCCCTCCCTTCAAAAGCTTCGACATTTTATAAAATTAACAGTGTATCATACATCAAAGAACGGTTTTCCGCCATAAGCGGGACGAAGGACATGTAGAAGCAAAATGGACGATCCGGAGAATAGCGTGCACTTTCTATTTAGTTGAATAATTGGGTACGCCGTTCCTACCCTGCTCTTTCTCCGCTGACCTGCTCCCCTCCCATCTCTTCTTTCGAAAGACTCTTGCCTTAATTCACTTATGTTTAATGCAATTCCGCTGGGTTTTCCGGCCGATGGTTGCCTACCATTTCGTTGACAACGCGACGTCATTTCCGTGGGCTCTGACGTGCTCGTTTTCCGCGTTTCATTCTGCTTTTCTGAACGCCGCTATATTGACGGGGAAATTGAATTTATTACAAAGAACTTGGAGGATGCTATCAAAGAATTGCAACGGTAAATACTGTTTGAATGATCGGTATTTCGTTTAAACCTTTTTTCCAGCTATCAAGAAGCATCAATACCGTTAGCTTCAAACTGACATTAGGTGTACGAGTAAACCTATCGATCAATGCATTAGCTCGTCTCTAGTAGGGCTATGATACTTCATTATTGTTCCCATACTATTCACAAT